CAAAACAAACTTGTAGCCAATCAGCAGTAAGGGGCGTGTCTACTCATGATGTGGAGGAGAGAGCGCTCAGTGCACAGGACGGACATTAGCCGAGCCAAGCGACAGAAAGATAGAGATGCCGGATAAAAAAAAAAACGAAAGAGGAAAACGTCTGCGGAACAAAAGAAGGCTTACGATAAGAAGTAGGACCCGTGTAAATATCGGATCAGCTTTCCAGCGCTGGAGAGAACTCAAGGAGTGGGAAGGCCTGCGATCGGACACCGAGGTTGCTTTGTTTCTTCTCAATAGGTGAGTGATACCGTGTCTACACTGGACGCGTCAGTTGTCGCGCTGCGCCGCAACAGCTAAACAGCTAAAGTCTGTCTACACTGGACGCGATAAAGCGACCATTGAAAATCATTTGAAATTTGTGTCAATACGTAATAAATGGAACGCAGCAGCAGTTTTCTGTCGGGATTTGTCGTGTCACGCCGTGCCGCATCCAGTGTAGACAGCATCACTGATTATGAGTTCTATAGTATTTTGTAGTGCCGCTCGTGTCCGGTGTAGACACGGTGTAACATTGGTTTTGCTTTGTTTCACAGAACTAATCGTTGCCTGGGTTGCCTACATATGTGTGGGGCGGAGCTATCAAAATAGGGGTGAGACCCTTTTGGGGTAGGGGCGTGTTTGTTTTGGTGGTTTGAAATATCAACATTGGCTACCAGAAATCACTTACCCCACCTTTAAATTGCCCCTATTATGTTTTAGAGGTCTCCTACACTAGGTTTACATACAATGATCATTTATTCATAATATAGATTTTAAATCACCTAATTTCTCAAAAAGTCTCAAATGATTCATCTGAACATTTATTCTTTCTAAACCCCTCCTTCCCATGAGCCTACTCTGCTCTAATAGGTCAGATGATCAGGTCTGTTGTGATTGGTATACTGCTTACAGTGCATGTCTGAAACAAAATGCCCGTTACCCTATCTGCTCTGGTACGGAGTCTTTCTTCCCTCGGTGATTGTAAACACTGACAGTAATCATTGCATTGATTTTAGTATATCAGTTCGAGCCTGTGTCCGATGATGAAACATTGGAAGAACTACTTGATCAACCCAAACCTCCAATGCAAACACAACTTGAGCAAGACATTCTTCACAATTTTTTTACTTAGCTGTAAGATATCTTAATATACCACAAACTGTGTAACAAGTGTGTGTATGGCAAATGTTTAATAGATGTGTAAGTGAAGAGTTTATATGTATGTGCAATCGTTTCATAAATGCAAGCAAAAGGTTTGCATATATGCGTGAGTAACAGTAGATGTACAGTATTAGTCTGCATTTCATATTAGTGTGTGCAAGCTGATGGTGAAATGAGCTCACTTGAGTATGTTCAGCTCACACACAGGATTCTTCAGTCCCTCACAGATCTCTTTGACTCCTGAGTCCAGCAGACGGCTGTTGTTCAGGTTCATCTCTTTCAGGATGGTTTTGGAGGAGAGAACAGTAGCTAGAACTGAACAGCTTTCCTCTGTCAGCTCACAATTATTCAGCCTGAACAAAAACAATTATTTATTATACAGCACATATTCAACAGATCATCAGTCTTCAAATATGCTCACATACACGACTGCCAGTCCTTTATAATGAATATACAGAGAAGTTATCATGTATAAATCATGTTCACTCACTTGATTTTCTCCACTTTGCAATGGGAGTCCATCAAAAGAGCAGAGAGTTTCTCTCCATCCAGATCTCCTAATTTCTCTCCACTCAGATCCAGTTCTTTCAGTAATAATGGACTTTTACCCAGAACTTTAGTGAGATACTCACATGCTTCCTCTGCAGCAGGACCTTTCAAAAACCTACAGAAAGCAGAAAAGACTTTAGACTAGATAGTCATGTTACAATTTCATGTATTTTGTAGCTCCCATCCTCCTTATGGGTCCAGTGTGGTATTGATGATAATTATGATAACTGCTTACAGTTCTGCTGGAAAAAATAACCATACAAATCAGGGAATAGAGTAGCATAATTGGTCTAAATTCTATATTTATTCATGTTAATAACTATAATTAAATAAAGTCTCGTTACGTATTGTAAACAGCTAAAAAGCACCCTTTGAGACGGATCAAGGCAAGGTGCACTGACAGCAACTCTAGGCAATTGATGTGCCAGGGCAGTTGGGGGCCCGTCCAAACCCCGACACTGCAAGCCCGTCGAACGTGGCCCCCCAGCCGGTGGTAGAGACATCCGTGTGAACCACAGCATGCCTGGAGACCTTATCTAGGGGCACTCCTGCCAGGAGAAACGCAAGATCTGACCACGGGGTGAAGGTTTGGCGGCAGGCTGGTGTGACTCGGACCCGGTGAGTGCCGCGTAGCCACGCCCACCTCAGGACTCGGCCATAGATTCAGTGTTAAAGCGGTGTCATATGAAGCAGCCCCAGCGGCGTGACTGCACTGCAGCCTCCATATGCCCCAGGAGCCTCTGAAAGTGTTTCAGTGGGACCGCCGTCCTGCCCTATTCATATTCAGGCAGTTCAACACCGACTGACCACGTCCTTGCATGAGGCCTGCTTGACCGAATCCAACACCATACCGAGAAAAGAAATCCTCTCCAAGGAGAGTTTGCTCTTTTCTCAGCTGACCCGAAGGCCCAACCGGCTGAGATGCGAAAGCACCAAGTCCCTGTGTGCAGACAACTGATCCTGAGACTGAGCTAGTATGGGACAGTTGTCAAGGTAGTTGAAAATGTGAATGCCCCGTTCTCTCAAGGGAACTAGGGTGGCCTCCGCAACTTACGTGAAGACATGGGGCAACAGGGACAGCCCAGAGGGCAGGACCTCGTACTGATATGCTCATCCATTGGACGCGAACCGCAGCAATGGTCTGTGGTGCGGAAGGATTGACACATGAAAGTACACGTCCTTCAGGTTGATTGCTGCAAACCAATCTCAGGGACGGATGCACCTGAAGAGGTGTTCCTATGACAACATCTTGAACGGTAACCGGTGAAGGGCCCGGTTCAAGACACGCAGGACCAAGATCGGTCGTAACCCACCACCTTTCTTGGGTACAACAAAATAGGGGCTGTAAAACCCCATCTCCATATCGGCTGGAGGGACCGGCTCTATCGCATCCTTCGCCAGTAGGACTGCGATTTCTGCACGCAAGACAGAAGTTTCAGCCGCCTTCACTGATGTGAAGCGGATGCCGCTGAACTTGGGGGGGCAGCTGGTGAACTGAATCGCATAGCCGAGTCTGATGGTCCACAGGAACCAACGAGACGGTATAGGTAGCAAGGTACCCAGACACCACACAAGCTGGACCAGCAGGACCACCGACGTACCTGCGGTGGGGCAGCGAGGTGGAACACAGGGACCTGGAGAGGGGTCTGAGTGTGCAGTGCAATGCTTACCTGGTTCCACAGTTTGGCAGAGGGTATGGGAGTAGGGCCTTTGATGATGCTCTCGAACCACTCGCTGCTGCCTGCTGGCGAGAGAGGAGGATGAGTGTGGTCCGGTGTTGGTCCGTCCGCAACTCTCCATGTCCTCTTGGGACCCAGAGACAGAGAAACCCGCTCTCCTGTCAAGATTTTTGGAAACCAGATTCTCCACTCGGCCCTCCTACGGGGAATGGAGAGGTGCATCCTTCTCTCTCTGGGTCCCAAGGCTTCTTGCTCTTCCGCTCACCGCCAGGTTGACGGGGACCTGGACGGGCGGGGCGGCCTGTCTACGCCCAGCTCGATGGCACTGCTTGCTTGAGGCTGCTGCGGATGCGGCACGGGAGCGGGGGTGGACGCAGGGGGCCGTCCTCGGTGACTAGCAGGCTGGGGCGCTGCAGCCGGCGGACAGGGGGAGGCAGCAGCTGCTCGCCGGGGCAGAAGGTCGGATCGCCTCAGTCTGCTCCTGTGCAGCCGAGAACTGCTGGGCCAAGTTCTCGACTGCGTTGCCGAAAAGGCCGGTCTGGGACACAGAGACCTTGAGGAACCGAACATTGTTGGCATCCCTCATGTCGACCAGACAAAACCAGAGGTGACACTCCTGGACCACAAGTGTGGACATTGCACCACCCAGAGAACTCACTGTGACCTTCGTCGCTCGGAGTACGAGATCAGCTGCGGTTCGGAGCTCTTTTAGAACTTCCGGATCGTGACCACCCTCGTGCAGGTCCCTCAGTGCTTTAGCCTGATGAACCTGCAGTAACGCCGTAGCATGTAAGGCGGAGGAGGCTTCTCCACAGGCCGTATAAGCATCACTGGCCAGACGAGTACCTACAGACCCGGGAGGGGAGGCACGGTTCTCCCTGCCGGGTGGAGGCGGTGTTAGGACACAACTGCATCGCAATCGACCGCTCCACCGGGGGGACCCCGTATACCCCCTAGCTGCACCACCGTCGAGAGTAGTGAGGGAGGAGTTAGCCGGTCGGTTTCCGGCAGAAAAAGGTGCCATTCACAGCCTGGTAAGCTCCTCATGCACTTCTGGGAAGAATAGCACCAGGGCGGGCGCTGAAAACCAGCACGGACCACCCCGAAGAACCAATCGCCCAACCTTGAGGGCTCGGGACACGGTGGAGGTCTCCACTCGAGCCCTACACTCACGGCGGCCCAGGAAAGCATAGCCGTTATTTCCGGATCCAATTCAGGCATTGCTACAGTCCCGGAGGACAGCAGCACAGCCGAATCTTCATCTCCAGAAAGCTCCGGCTCACTCTCCGATGCAGCGATTGACATCCGGTCATCGGGAGGAGCACCAAAGGATACTGCTGGTACGCTCCTTGTAGAGGGCCCAGCACGTTCCATTGACAGCTCAACTGGTTGCGGAGTGCAAAAGGAGTGATGGTCTCCCGAGGGTTGGTTCCCTGGAGGGTTTGCCCTCACTGTTACCCTCAGAACGCCCGTGCTACTGCCTGAAGTAGCCCCCGCCTGACTGCCGCCATGACGAGAACTAGATCGAGGCAGAGGCAACGGAGCTTGGCCTGCGAATCCGAGATGATCATCTTCCTGCAATGAGAACATGACTCATCCACAAATGCCACCGCAGCGTGCTAAATTCCCAGGCACGTGAGGCAGCGATCGTGACCATTACCCAGCGCCAGGTAACGACTGCATCCAAAAATGCCTGGGTGATACGTTGTCTATAGCAAGACCCACATCGTCTTTACAAAGACGTAACGTCAAGTTTGCCACACAACGTCGTCTTTAAAAAGACACACCCGTAAATGTTCTTTTAGGAAAAAAGCTCTTTTAGTGTGCTGTAGTCTTCTTCTCTAAGTAGAGTAGTCAGGAGCAGAACAATGTGATCGCTCGGCTCCGAAGCGAAAAAGCCGAATATGCGCTGCACCTGCTGCCTACTTATACTCACGCTGTGATCAGCGGCAGCTGGATGCAATCATCGCATGCCAATGTGCATTGGCTCGTTTAGTTTACACTCGAAGTAGATTGGTCTCTCTAAGTGAGATCCCAATTCGTCGGTCATCCGACGTGACGTCGAGAGTGACCGACTGAAAGGGAACTATTATTGTGTCAGAAAACCTGAGTTTTAGTGTCATTCAATTCAGTTGTGTGAAGGTGTTGAATTTCTTTAAACTGAAATTCAGCAAATTGTTTTCCCTGTCATTCTAATTCCGCATGGACCCAGTTGTCTCCTCAACCTAGCTGAAAACCTCTGACTTTTTTGAAAAATGTAAAGACAAATATTACCTGATTGTTGTTAATTTACAGCATTCACCCCGCTGTAAATCAAAGAGACCCTCCACTCCTGATTGTCCAGGATCATTTCCTGTGAGATCCAGCTCAATCAGGTGTGAGTTTGACTTTAGAGATGAAGTCAAAGTTTTATATCCTTCTTCAATGATACTGCAGTCTGAAAGTCTATATATATATATATATATATATATATATACACACATTTTTTATTAACATATAACAGTTATTTAATGCATTATATAAGTAATGTTTACTGACTTAATGTAATTAAGTAAAAACTATTACAATAATGAGAAATGAAAATACACACTTCAGTTTCTCCAATATACAGTGTAGATTTTTCATCAGATGACAGATCTTCTCAATTCCTGAGTTTCCTAGTTTATTCTCACTCAGATTAAGGACTTTCAGGTTTGAAGGGTTTGAATTAAACGCTGAAATCAGAGCAGCACAACCTTCTGCTGTAATCCTGTTATTATTCAGCCTGTAGAGAAAGAAAAGAGAGACAGTAAACATTCTTCAGTTTACTTCAAAACATTCTTTAAGGAACAAGGACAGTCTTAATCCAAGCAAGTAACTGAAAATACAAAATATCATATTTTAAACATTTTTAACAGATTTTACATGTAACATGTTAAACCATGCACAAATAATTTGTAAACATCTATTACAAATCAATTTCAATTTAGATTGAGATCAGTGTCTTGACTGTTTTCACAAAACTTACCTCAGTATCTCCAATTTACACTTTAGGCTCTTCAGTCCAGTGCAGAGCAGCTTCACTCCTGAATCCTGCAGATTATTGTTGTTCATGTTCAGCTCTTTCAGTCTTGTATCTGATTCAAGAACTGTAGCTAGAACTGAACAGCTTTTGTCTGTTAAGTCACAATCATTTAACCTACAAGCAAAATATATACTGTGAGGTTCATAGCTTAGTATTTTTCAGACACAGAGATAATTGCTACATAAGATAAACAAGCTTGAACAATCTGTAGATTGATTATTTTATTAATTAGGACTAAGTAAATTATTGTTTTCTTTATTTTTAATGAGAAAATACTATGCCACATCCTGCTCAGTGTTGTCTTCCAATAATGTGCAAATTGAAGTCTATGAAAACAAACGTGGTAAATGAATCTAAGCAGGCTGTGCTATACATTATGTGCAAAAAAAGAAACATTATGATCTAAAACAACACTGCTTGCCCATAATTTCAAAGTCACTAAATTAATGATAAAGAAATACAAAAGTAAAAACTAAATGTTAACAGGTAAGTTACATTCACTTATGTGAAAGCAGTATTTTTATATGAAACACCCACATCGGCTAGAACACCTGCCAGGCTCATGTTTGATTTATAAGTTTTTCCCCACAGCAGCAGAGTCTGTGTCCTCTGATATATTTTAAATTTTAAAGTGTTATTCACAATTGTAAAGTGCCAAGACTAGATGTTTTCACTGCACTGCACAATAAATGCGATTAATCAATAATCACATTTTTATTAATGATTTTGATTAGTTTTGTTTAGCCCAAAATCATACTATACATATGTTTAAATTATTTTTGTATGGTTAAACAAATATGAAAATTGAATATGGGTATATTCAATGAAACTATACAGAAAGGATAATTTCAGAATGTTTAGAATTTACTTGCAGGTGGTATATGATTAAAGAAAATTATCAATACATGTTTTTCAGATGAGTGCAAAAATATGACAAATTACTTACAAAGCTTTTTTGGAGGATTTTATGACTGGTGATAGTCGAATGAGACACTCGTCTGATTTCTTGAATTTCTGAAGCTCAAATTCCTCCATCTCCTCCTCTGATGTCAACAACACAAAGGCCACAGCAGACCACTGCGCAGGTGAAAGATCAGCAGATGAGAGGCTTCCTTTGCTAAGGTGGGTCTGAATGTCTTTCACCAGAGTTTGGTCGTTCAGTTCATTCAGACAGTAGAACAGATTGATGGATCTCTCTGGAGACAGATTAGCTTCAAATTTCTGCTTGATGTACTGAACTATTTCCTCTTTGCTCTGGTCATTGTCATTTTGCTGTGTCAACAGACCTCGTAAGAGTGTTTTTTTAGACTGGAGTGACAAACCAAGGAGGAATCGAAGGAAAAGGTCCAGGTGTCCATTGTCACTCTCGAGTGCCTTGTCCACTGCAGTCTTGAGCAAATCAATCATAGTCTCCTTTTTGTTTTCCTGTTCTGTAGAGTCTTGAACAAATGCACTTTTCTTGTTGATGTCTAGAAACAGATGTGCATAAAGGGCTGCAATAAACTCTTGAATGCTCATGTGAACAAAGCAGTACATCGTGCCAAGAACGATCCCCGTTTCCTCCTTAAAGATCTGGGTACACATGCCTGAGTACACTGATGCCTTATAGACGTCAATACCACAGGCTTCCAGATCTGTGTCATAGAAGATCAGATTGTTTTTTTGCAGCTGATGAAATGCCAGTTTCCCCAGTGAAAGGATGGCATCTTTATCCCAGGAAAAAAGATTGCATCTTTATCCCAGGAAACATCTGGTGTGTTTTCTCCATCATACTTTCGTCTGCTCTGCTGGATCTGAAATCTGAGAAAGTGTGTGTACATTTGTGTCAGAGTCTTAGGAGTGTCTTCAGTATTTGACTCCTGCAGTGTTTTGGAGGCATCATCAGCCTGATTGTTTTTCACAACATTATTTCTTTTCTCCTCTAAAATGTTCTGGAGAACAGTGGCTGAAATCCAGCAGAAGACTGGGATGTGGCACATGATAAAGAGACTCTTTGATTGTTTAACATGATCAATGATTTCTCTGGCCAGATCCTCATCTGTGATTCTTTTTCTGAAGTACTCCTCCTTCTGTGCATCATTGAACCCTCTGACCTCTGTGACCCGGTCGATACAGTCAGGAGGAATCTTACTGGCAGCTGCTGGTCTGGTGGTGATCCAGATGAGAGCAGAAGGAAGCAGATTTCCCTTGATGAGGTTCGTTAGGAGAACATCCAGAGAGGCTGGTGATGAAACATCAGACCACGTCTCATTACCAGCAAAGTTTAGAGGAAGACGGCATTCATCCAAACCATCAAGAATGAACAGGACTTTGAATTGATCATTTTTTGTAAGGTTCATTCCTCTCGTCTCTGGGAAAAACTGACTTATAAGGCTCATCAAACTTAGTTTTCCTTTGTCTTTTAAATTCATTTCTCTGAATGGAAGTGGAAATATGAAGCTGATATCTTGATTTTCTTTTCCTTCGGCCCAGTCCACAACAAACTTTTGCACAGAGACTGATTTTCCGATGCCAGCAACTCCTTTTGTCAGTACAGTTCTGATCTGCTTGTCTTGTTCAGGTGCTTCAAACAAATTGTTGCATTCAACCTGTATCTCCTGTGATTCATAACGTCTGGAAGCAACTTCAATCTGTCTCACCTCATGTTCAGTATTAACCTGTTCACTACAACCCTGAGTGATATAGAGATCTGTGTAGATGCTATTCAGAAGTGTGGAGTCGCCTTGCTTCGCAATTCCTTCAAACACACATTCATACTTCTTCTTCAGGTTCCACTTAAGTTGTCGTTGATGAATGAAGACCACCTCATCTAAACACACACAACAAAAACAATTGATCCTACAGTTATTTTCCAATGATATATGTTATAGTGACAATATGACAGATGGTCATAAGTATCTTACCTTTTAGAGTATCTGCAAGATTATCTTCCTTCATATTTTTTAGGAAGTATAGCGTGATATCAAGAGCTGCTTCTTTGACTTTACACATGTCCTGTGTAAAGTCCTGCACAAAGTATTGTGTGTTCTCTTTTTTTAAAATCTTCTTAAACTTGTTCAGCTCAAACTTCAGAAATGCATTAATTTTTTTCTCAAGGTCCTAAAGCATATAAAACAAAGATGGTTACAACAACCAAATTTAACCAAGTATTATATCCACATATGAAACATAATTAGGGATGTCCCGAGCCGATCTCAAGGTTCAGGGCCGAATTTTAACTGATCGGTATCGGCTGTATGAAGCCTGATCCTTAATACAGGTTTTGTAAGCGGAGAGCACAATCAATGTCAGGAATGCGAAGCTAAATTCTGATTCTAAACTGTCTGCTTTGTGAAAATACGAAAGCAGTCCAACAGCAACGTAATGTATGCAATGACAGCATTTTGCGAGGTGGTAGCAACAGAGCTTCATACCATACTGCTGATTTGATACAGCACCTAAAATCTAAACACTCAGCGAAACACAGCGCGTTATCTGAGGCAACTCGGACGACGATGGATAACAATGAAATTCGCATAACAGCCTTCACTCCCTTTCTTTGCATCACCTGAGGATGAAAATACAGAGCAGAGGCTGCACAACGAGCCATATTGACAAGAGTTTAACGATTCGAAGTGTAAGGAAAACGTCAGAGTAATGTCACAGAGTTCATTCATGAAGTTCTGAGAACAACACACAGCATCTGTGTATGCCCAGGAACATGTGCTTTTGGTCAGAGCAGTAATACTTTTAGTTTACATGAATGTCTATTGCAATTAAAATCGGAGTATGCCACAATTTTTTAATGGTCTCTATGATTATGAGATTACTCCCATCAGTTTGATCGAAGCATAAGATTGAGGTAATCTTAGGGTGCTTTCACACTAGCACTTTTGGTGCACACCTGCGTTCGATTAATGTCAGAGTTCGGTTTGTTTGGATGATGCGAACGCTGTCTTCCAAACTCCGGTGCGCACCCGTGAACTGTACCCGAGTCCGCTTAAAAAGGGTGGTCTGGGGTACGGTTCAAGTGAACTCCAGTACGGTTCGCTGCTGATGTGAACGCAATCGTACCAAATCGCGGAAGTGAACCACTATTAATGATGTATTATTTGATAAATATGTGTATTTATGGGTGTGTTTCACTCACTTTCTTGACGAGCATGACAGACGCGCTGCAAACAGAGAGCTGTATATCTCATTTCTGTTCACCTTCAGCATTCTTTAGATCATTTGCAGTACATTCGTAAGACAGATGTACATGCAGTTATGTACCAAAGCTTTGTAAACAAAATGAACGGTTCAAAAAGTAAATATATAAAAGTGCAGAGAGCAATGTTATGCATTTGCCGCCTTCTCCTGCGCCGTCGTTACTAAGCAACGGGGTGAACAGCTGCTGACTTGATGACGCAAACGAACCACGGTTCAGACCCAAATAATATAATATGAACGCAGTCCAGCAGGGGCAGGGGGGAGCAATCGAACTCGGGTTCGGACCAAGCAATCGAACCCAATGTGTGAAAGCACCCTTAATCACAAAAATGCCTAAATCTTAACATGGCAGAGATGCTGATGTACATGTTTAGTACACTATTCTGCCCTACAAAGACAAAAGACCTCAACTCGCTAGAGTGTGAAACTGAGAAAAATTTAAGTTTTTTTACTCGTCCAGCCAAATTAACTATAGGTAGGACACTGGAAATTCAGCAATTATATGTTTTAGTAATTAAATCTATCCACATTCAAAAATTGTTTTCCCTCTATTTTGAAGTTACTGTACTCTGCCGTTGCATTGTCTGTCACACCAAGGCAAAAGGCAGTAACTTCCACATTATCAATATTTGGTTGCTGATCACCATTTACAAAATCCTTACAGTAACACCTGTATAAAATCTAGTGATCATGGGCTGTCTTAATTTTTTTTACCGTAACAAGCAGACAAAAAGTTAAACGTGAGTGGATACCATTTTGCAACCAATTTATTTGCTATGCTCAGAACATAAAAGAATGCTACAGCCTACATAGCATAATTGCTTTAATATAAAGGCTTGAATGAAAGCCTTGTGGATTGATGTTAACGCCAGCAAGCAGGAATGCTCAGAATGCTTGTAGATTAAACATCTCCGACGACACTCATCGCCATGGATTGATTTTATCGGGTTACAAGAAAAGGTAGGATATGGATTTAATTGCGAACTGTTATTACTGATTTTATGATTTATCATGCTAGATGCTACGGCATTCGAGTCTACATGCGTCCAACTAAAAGTGACAGCCTGGTGAATAATCTGCATTTTAAAAAGGAAAAAATAATAAATAAATAAAAATTTAAAGATTATTTACAATTATGTATTGCTGCCAAGGGATCTAGTCTTTACAGTGCTTTGTTATATAGAGCTGTTTGGTAGATCGTGATCTCTCTAATTCCTTTGTATAATAAAGTGCTTCAGTGACATATCAGATGTATGAAATTATACAAGTTACACCGTAATTAAAATGCGGCAGACTTTAATGGACAGTAAAACAAAGGCAGAACGCCGTAGAACTCCAAGCCAGCACAGTAACTTCATACTGAAGCGCATCTAAACAAAAGGCATGGGTAAAGTTCGCGTGAACCGGAAGTTGCTGCCGACTTTATTTCAGTGTATTGACATATTTCCAGCTGAAACTGAATATTGAATAGAGGGTGTGGTTTTATTTTTGCGCTCCTCCTCTCGGTCTCTCACTCATAGCAACCTAACGGTTGGAGGGGTGTGTCTAAGGATATTCTGCCCAAGCCGTCAAACTGACGTCATCAGAAAAGGAATACCATTCCAGAAAATGTTCAGATTTTGATTAAAGATTACCAAGACAAACTATTTTTTTCAGCAGATTAACTTGCATAGATTTATTGTTCACATCAAGACTAGCAATGTCCACAAGTAAAGTTACGGTCTTTTGCCTTTGCACGGCAGTATACTTGTTTTACTATAATGCTGCACTCAGCTGAACTGTTATAATAAGAGAAAATATATTTGTTTATTTTGTAAAATATTAATAAAACTGTAAAGAACAGGTTGGACAGCTTTGTAATGCATTAATAAAAAATATGTAGTTGTCAGCATATACATTGGATTGATTTTAATAACCTTAATGTGCCTAAAAGTGCACCCAGCACTAGAAAAATACAGGTATCGGACTGGGACTCAGTATTAGCAGATATTCAATGATACTCAATATTTAATGACTCCGATCGGATCGGGGCACAAAAAAACTTTATCGGGACATCCCTAGTAGTTAAAAGCATTTAACTACAAAACAGCAATGATGTAGTAGAAAAATTACAATTTTAGAACATCACTTGCCATGGACAAACTTTATCCAATCATTTTAAGCAAAATTACTGAAAGTACCCAGATATATGTCAAACCAGAGTTTCCTCATATGCAATTTAGCAGGTACATTGCCACTACTGATTTATGAGCATTGCTGTCAAAATTCCACACAACTCAACTAAGATTTAATGTTGCATCAATATCATTAACTTAGACACTAACAGTAAATAAGTGACAAGCAAAGTGAACACTTCCGAATGGTCATTGGGTTTCATTTCTTAAAACTCAATGTTGAGTTACAGTGACACTATACAGACAAAGCAGTCGTGTGTTCACATGAAAGGGGCATGTTAATCAGTCAATAGCTAGTGGAGGAGCAGAAGAACTTGAAAAGCCTTCTGCATAATTCAAATCACATGTATGGGAGCATTAGGCTTCCCCGTAAAATATAAAGATTATTGAAAAAGGGTGGTGGACAAAACTGTTATGTAGGCATTGTGGTATAAGAAACCATACGAAAGTGGCAATACATCGAACATGGCCAGGCATCGGAAGCAACATGCCAATTGCTGGCAACATGCTGGCACCAAGCAGAGTAAACAACAGTTCAAAAACAAGGCAAGAGGGTCAGAAGGCAGGCAGCGAAGAATCCAAAAACGAGAGAAACAGTCCAGGGTCATACACAGTAATCCAACAGAGAAGATGATAACGCTCAGAAATGTCAGCCGGGGCATTGCCTGTACGACTGCGTTTACTTTTATTAAAAGCTGCAAATGGATCCTCACTCCGCTGACTCATCATTACAGAAGACTTCACATCAACTCGATCCAGCAGCAGTCTACAGACTCACCACCAAAGTCTCTTCCCAGGGCAACGTGCTGGCCGCTCACCAACATTAGCTAGCACACCTCACGTCTCTCACAGAGGAGTTAGTAAAGACTATGCAAACGCTACAGCTACCTACAACTGAGTCTGCCTCGCCGACATTAGAACCAGCACCCCAAGCACCTCCTTTGAGTCACTCCACGGCTGGTCCCCGCTTAGCCTACCCAGAGAAATTTTACGCTTCATCTGCGGTCATCTGAGTCAGTCATTTTCCATTTCAAGGTGTATCAAAGTGCCTGTTAACCTAGCCGTTGGTGATAGTATGATAGAGGCAATGGCTTTAATCGATTCTGGAGCAGCAGGAAATTTTATTGATGCTGACTTTGCCAAAATGAATGACCTCCCTCTCATACCCTGTAAATCTCCCTTGGCAGTGGCAGCGCTAGATGGGAGACCTCTGGGCGCCGGTCAGGTCCAATACACCACCAATGACATCTGCCTGGCTACTGGCATCATGCATTCAGAAATAATCAGTTTCTACATCATACAAGCTCCCAGCAACCCAGTTGTACTTGGACTCCCCTGGCTTCAGCTACACGACCCACAGATCTCATGGACTGAGGGTCAAATCACTCACTGGTCAGCCAAATGTTTCACACAGTGTCTTCAGATTCTGGAACCAATGTCACTTGAAGCAGCCACCATCAAAGTAGACCCTTTGCACTCAATCGATATTCCTTCAGACTAGGGATGGGTACCGAAACCCGGTATTTAATCGGTCCCGGGGCTAAATTATGAAAGACCGGAGTATCGATAAACTCTGACGTTAACGGTTCTGCTATCGGTACTGGAAAAATGAATAAAACACACATACATTTATTATTGCTATATATACACATTATCTTGAAAATTCTATCTCACCAGAGTCACCAGCTGTTTTTCAAAGCATTTGTCTATGATGCATTTTTGCTATTCGCAATTCAGAAGCGAGATCGCACTCACACAGAGGAGCTGCAGCAGCACGCGCAACATGAAAGCCCTGTTTAATTATGATAGAAGAGAAAACTAAACATTCAAACATCTGCTTACACTTTAGGCCTGTGGCTGTTTTATTAAGCTAATTTCTTTTTTTTTTTCGATTTTGGCTTCTAAGGATTATACAAAAGAAGACATGAGGTAAAGCTATTAAAAACTAGCTGCGTTTCGTATTGCGCGACTTCTTTCCCTTCACAACGATGCGCATTCGTTCCTCCCTAAAACCCAAACTTAAAGTCAGAATCAGCTCAATTGGCGATTGTTGTAAGATGCCATCTTTACTGTTGCTAAATTGCAGGACATGTTTGATAATAAAACGTTGAAAGCACAATCCGCACAAGAGACGCTACCCTGTCCCTCAGGCTGAAATGTGTGCGCGTGGCGCATTCCAAAATGGACAAACAAATTACACTTTGAACTTCAGGTGCATGTCCAATCGATCAAATACACACAAAAATGTGTCAAAATGGCCGGCTTAGAGAGTATTTACTTAAACACAGCTTATGTCTTAAGTAGAGGAGAACAGCTGGGAGAATCCAATGTGTGTCAATATATTGTCTTAAAGTGACAGACTGGCATTTACATTTGATTACTTTTAGATTTATTTTGTAGGCTATTACTTACCTGAACAGTAATGTTAGTAGAACTTCATGAAAAAATGACAGCACTGTTTATTTAATTTCATTTGTATATTTGTTTTATTGTATTTGTCAGTTTGTTTTACTTTGTTTCTTTGTTCATGTTCTTACTGTATCTTATCTTATGTATAAAACACTAAAAATGCCTGCACACTGGTGCATTTACAAATTGATGTTTTATATTAATTTCATTAAATATTAATTTTACATTTCAGAATATAAAGCAATGTTAATTCAGCTCTTAATTTGTCATATATATATATATATATATAAAACAAAAAGTACCGATAAGAATACAGTTAAAGAACCGAATCAATAAGCAGTATCGGTGAGAGTAGTAATACTGTTAAAACCTTAACGATACCCATCCCTACTTCAGACTATGCTGATCTAGCTGAAGCATTCAGCAAGGCCAAAGCTACCCAACTACCTCCACATCGGTCCAGCGACTGTGCCATCGAACTGCTGCCCGGCACCACACCTCCCAAAAGGTAGAATCTTTCCCCTTTCACAACCACAGACTGAATCCATGAAAGCCTATATAGAGGAGAAACTAGCTAAGGGCTTCATTGTCCAATCTACGTCTCCTCTGTCTGCGGGATTCTTCTTTGTCAAGAAAAAAGATGCGAGTCTTCGGCCTTGTATTGACTATAGAGGTTTAAATTAAGTAACTGTTAAATTCCAGTACCCTCTACCTCCGGTTCCTCCGGCTCTTGAACAGCTTCGCTCAGCCAAGTACTTTCCCTAAGCTCGATCTACGAAATTCTTTTGCATCAGAGAGGGGGATGAGTGGAAGACAGCTTTCTCTACCACTTCTGGGCACTATGAGTACCGGGTTATGCCGTTTGGGCTTGTCAACAGTCCCTCAGTCTTTCAGGCATTCATAAATGATGTATTCCGTGACATGCTCAACAGATGGGTCATCATTTACATGGACGACATTGTCGTTTATTCTGACTCTCTTGAGACACACATTAACCATGTCAGAGCTGTTCTACAACGTTAAATCTCCCATCAGTTATACGCTAAGGCAGAGAAATGTGAGTTTCACCAGACTTGTACCACATTCCTGGGATATGTAGTCAGCCCTGAGGGAGTGGCAATGGATGACCATAAGGTGCAAGCTGTCCTGAACTGGCCCCGACCTACGACTGTCAAAGAGATGCAAAGATTCTTTGGCTTCGCTAACTTCTACAGATGATTCATCAGAGACTTCAGCTCCATCGCAGCCCCTCTTACGTCTATGATTAGAAGGAAGGGAGGTCGCTTGTCCTGGTCACCTGCAGCTGACAGAGCTTTAGCCACCTCAAAGAACGTTTCTCCACTGCACCCATATTGCATCACCCAGATCCTGAACGTGAGTTTGTGGTAGAGATAGATGCCTCCAGCACAGGTGTAGGGGCAGTCCTCTCACAACGTCATGGCAGTCCACCCAAACTTTTCCCCTGTGCCTACTTTTCATGCAAGCTAAATCAAGCAGAACAGAAATATGATGTAGGAAACCGTGAGTTCTTGGCAATGAAGGCGGCTTTTGAGGAGTGGCGACACTGGCTTGAGGGGTCCAAATGTCCCTTTTCAGTTCTCACGCAATCTGGAATATCTCCGCAGTGCAAAAAGACTCAATCACAGACAGGCCAGGTGGGCTCTGTTCTTCACTAGGTTTCAGTTCACAGTAACGTATCGTCCAGGTTCCAAAAACGCCAAAGCAGATGCACTCTCACGTCAATTTGAGTCAGCTTTCCAACCCCTTTCACCAGATCCCATCTTGCCTACCACTCTCATTGTAGCACCGGTGCAGTGGGATGTCATGACTGAGATTGCAGAAATGCAGGGCACAGATCGTATACCTGCTTGAATGTCCACCCAACAGGACCTTTGTACCTCTTTCCTTGAGGAACAGAGTAATTCAACAAGTTCATGATCTCCCCAGCTCTGGACATCCAGGAATAACTGCATCCATCCAACTTCTCTCCAATAAGTTCTGGTGGCCTTCACTTCGCACTGACATCATTGCATTTATTAAGAATTGTGTAACCTGCAACACTTCCAAATCCTCCAAGCAGATGCCTGCGGGTTTGCTACAACCACTACCTGTTCCTCAAAAACCCTGGTCCCACATCGCCATAGATTTTATCACTGATCTTCCCAACTCCAAAGGCAATACCACCATTCTCACTGTCATTGCTCGCTTCTCGAAGTCCTGTCATCTGATACCATTACCCAAATTACCCACAGCCCTAGAGACGGCAGAGGTTTAATGCAAATATGTATTCCGCTTCTATGGACTCCCTGATGATATTGTCTCAGACAGAGGCCCTCAGTTCACCTCTCATGTATGGGCAACTTTCTTTAAACTCCTCATCGTAAACATCAGTCTTACTTCTGGCTACCATCCTGAATCCAACGGGCAAACTGAACGCCTAAATCAAGAGATCACTCGTTTCCTGAGGTCTTACTGTCACCACAATCAGGCTGATTGGAGCAGATATCTCTTCTGGGCAGAATATGCACAAAATTCACTGCGTAAACCATCTACTGGACTCACACCCTTCCAATGCGTACTTGGATTCCAACCACCTCGCTTTCCCTGGTCCGGGGAACCCACAGAAGTACCTGCAGTTTGTCCCGGGATCATGGGTCTGGCTCTCCACTCGAGATCTTCACCTCCGGCTACCCTGCCGTAAACTAAGTCCCAGGTACGTTGGTCCATTCATAATCATTAAACAAATAACCCCTGTTTCTTACCGTTTAGCTTTACCTCCTCAATATTGTATCTCACCCACCTTTCATGTCTCCTTGCTCAAGGCCACTGGTGCTCCGAGAGGGGCGGACGACCTAGATGAGGCCCAGAACCTGGGACCCCCTCCTCTCATGATCGACAGCGAGTAGGCATATCAGGTTCAGAAGATCCTAGACTCTCGGTGTTGGGGAGGAGCTCTGCAATATCTCGTGGACTGGGAGGGGTATGGGCCAGAGGAAAGGTCCTGGGTCGAAGCCAAGGATATTCTTGACCCATCACGTACCACTGACTTCCACAGGACCCATCCGGATAACCATCTCGTCCTCGCGGAAGACCCCGGCATCATTTGCCTTCTCACGTCAGGAGCCGCTCATAGGGAGGGGGCTCTGTAACGAATCTGGCCTCTGTGGTTCCCCCTGATCGTCATCCAGAGGTCGCCATCACCTGAGTATTGACTTTTCCCATCAAACTCCATTTCCCATCACTCCGTACCTGACCTTGATTACGAGGCTCACCTGATGCTTGTTTATGGGACTACTTAAGCCTCTGCCTCACACTCACTCTTTGCGAAGTCTTGTTTTGCCCCGGCTGACATTTCTGAGCATTATCATCTTTTCTGTTGGATTACTGTGTATGACCCTGGACTGTTTCTCTCGTTTTTGGATTCTTCACTGCCTGCCTTTTGACCCTCTTGCCTTGTTTTTGAACTGTTGTTTACTCTGCTTGCTCCCAGCCCCGATCACTCGCCTGTCTTGTTACTCTGCCTTTGTCTCATCTCTGATAACCTTGTTACTGTTCATTGACCATTGCCTGTACGACTGTGTTTACTTTTATTAAAAGCTGCAAATGGATCCTCACTCCGCTGACTCATCATTACACAACTAAATCTTGCAGACATAAACTACCTTTTTTTAAACAAATAAAAAATACAATATTTTACATTTGTTGAATTACCTATTTGTTTGCTATAATATAAATATTATATATATTATATTTTGTCCCAACCTGGAAGATCCAGACAAGATTTTCTTCCTTTCTTTTCTTGAAACGAGGATTCTCATAGTCGGTTGTCTCAATTTGAATCCTGTTGGCAAAAAAAAAGAAGAAAAAAAGAAACCTGTTTGAAACAGTATTTATTTATTTTTGAAAAAAAAAAGTATGCTGATTAGAAGCTTCAAACAAGATCATTATTGCGATCAATGACACTTTATTTCTGATAGGGTATTTTTTATTTCATGAAGGCACATACAAACTTCTTTAGTCATTTCTTCTCTGGAAAAACTGACTGGAGACATCACACATCAACGTCAGACAGTCTAATAGCTGAAGCTAATATCATCACAACTCACATTACAAAACAAATGTTTTTAGAAACCCGTCTTCCTCTTGAACCCTTTGGCTGATGGGATGCTGAGTATTTTAACACTTATTACAGGTTAATAATTAATCATAATTAGTTATGGTTAATTATTCATATTTCCCCATGAGCTAAATTCGCTACAGTGCTGAACTTGTTTCAAAAGACACAATGTACGCACTTTCAATGTTACATGTTATAGATTATCTAGCCTATGATAAAACTATGCATTTTGACATGTTTGATTAAATACGTTGTAAATTAAACTAAAAGGTAAATTGTGGTATCTAAAAGTAGTGTTTGTGTTCCCACCTGTTCAGAAGAAAAGTTGCCACTTCTACATCACTCTTTAGTCCCTTCTGTGCTTTTAGAGATTCCCATCGTGTAATTTCCATACCGATATTTACTGTGGTCGTCTGCCCTTTTTTACTGAAATCACACATAACAACAAATCACATAGAAACTAACAGGTTGACAGTTGTCTTCATCATTTGGTCAAACAATCATCAAACCAGCAGGTTACCCCTACCTAGCATTCATCAGTTCAGAGAAATGAATGGAAATGAAGCTTCAAGATAGTGAGTAAAATTTCTAATAGCATATCACCAACAACAAAAAACACAAGAAATACCTTTCGGTAGAGTTTTTCTCACTGAAGTCAGGTGGTACATGCTCTTTTGAGTGGTGACTCTTCACAGACACACAGCTGGACACTTGTGAGCCTGATCTTACACTAATGACAAAGAACACAGAGAAAAAAACTTTACCACAGAAGGTTGCTCTGTTACTGATATCCACAATGCTTTCTGTACTCCTCCTCAAAATTGTGCATGAAGAACATGAAGAACAAGAACAACAGAACATGAAGTTTTTGTTTAAGGAATAAAACAGAAAGCAGAGATTTCATAGGATAGTAGACTTTTTCTGCTGTCTTTTTAAAATGACCATGTTGCTGTTACATTGCTAAGTATCTTGTTCTCATCATTACATTTCATTCATTTACAACAAATGCTGCGTTGCATCAATCTCTCGCTCTTGCACAAAAATTAATTTTTAGCCCTGTTAATGGCAGAGATGATGTTGACTACAATGATCAATCATAAATTGCTGTTATGAATTAATAAATGAACGAAAGATCTATCATTATTCTACCTGAATGTGATTAAATCTTCCAGGCTGCTGCAGCAAGCTTTACAGTTCCATGCCATTCTGCTGCTTTTGCTATATTCATTATGAAGATTATATATATATATATATATATATATATATATATATATATATATAAATAAAATACACATAGACACACATTTAAATATATATAATTTTTAATTTTTTCTAGCTAACTATTAAGTTTAGGGTCACTGAATGGCTTTTCTAAGGTAAAAGTAACGTTACAGGACATTGTATGCAAACTGTTTTATTAACATATTTCAGTGGTTAATTGAGCAATTACATGAGACTTGATACACTGTGGTAAGCAGTATGGTTTCTTTCAACACACCATCTGATGTTCATTCATGTTCAGTAAGTGGTAGTAAGAGGAAGAGATGATTGTTTCACATGCCGCTTGAACAGACAACTACAGCGATCTGTCACATCGCATTAAAGACAGACAAAACTGTATTTCTTGTTTGAATTTCATCAAATTTGAAAGCTAAGACTTTGTTTTATCTCAAAAGTAACAAAGTACAAAGCTTATCATGATTTATTAAATAGGAGGCATGCTAGTGTACAAATACAATATGTTTCAATAAGTTTTGTTCACACATCAAATGAAATGAGCATAGATCGGTTATTAGGATTTAAGAATTGATTAACATTTATTAAATTCAAGAAATTAATATTTTCAACCCAGTCCTAATTATCACAGCATAATATTGTCACTGAATACATTTAATATTTTTACATTTTGTATTTAATCATTTGTTTTAAATGTTTCAAAACCCTAAACCAGCTTATTTCCTGGCTTTCATAAGATTTTAATGTTCATATGTGAGCCTGATCTTACACTAATGACACAAAGAACAGAAAGAAAAAACACATAAGAAGGAGGTACTTCAGTCTCATTTGAAAGTATTTAGTGAAATAAATCCAGTACAGCCCTGCATTTGTCCTTCTCATGACTATGGAGTGATGTATTTATGTTTGGTTGACAGGTATCTTTTCATGTTGAATTTATGTCCCCTAGTGACTAACGGTGGAATTGTATTACTAGAAAGAAGCTCCAGAGCTCATTGAAGCTTAAACGACAGTGTTCTGTGGTTTTGCTTTGTGACTTTATTTATTCAAATTCTCTCACAAATAATACAGTTGAAATTAGTTAATGAAGTGCTGTAATACAAAACACATTAAATACCTTTTGGTAGACTTTCTTCTTCTCTTCCTTAAGTGCGGCCCGTCACCTTTCAATTGGTAACTCCTCTTAGACACAGGTGAGCCTGATCTGTCACTAATGACACAAACAGAAGAGAGAGAAAAACACATTACTACAGGAGATTCATGCGTGTCTGATATCTGCACATGCTCTCTCTCGTCCTGCACAGACATTAAAGCTGTGGATTTGTACTTTTTGCCACTGGATGGATGGATTTAGATTTTGTTGCCTGTGTAACTGTATTACTGGAAAGAGTTCATTAAACAGTTAAGCAGATCATCAAACACAGTGTTCTGTGACTTATTATTATAACTTTTGTTAACTTGTATCACATAAACCTTATATGTAGAAATTAGTTAAAACCATGCTGTAAAGTTAAACACATGAAATACCTTTTGCTAGATGATGCTTTTCTCTTCCTTAAGTTTGGCCCGTCATCTTTCGACTGGTCACTCTTCACAGACACAGAGCTGGACACATGTGAGCCTGATCTTACACTAATGAAACAGAGAGCATAGTCGAAAAAAGAAAAAAAAAACGTCACTTCAGGACTACAGGTACTTCAGTCTCTGGTAAAGAGGTGTAATATTGCAAATGACAGGTTGATACAGAAGAGCAGTGGGTTTGTTTTTCTAATGACTATGACTGGAGAGATTTCCATTTGATTGGCTGGTTGCTTAATTGATGCCCCTAGTGGCTACCAATGCAACTGTATGTACATTTAGTCATTTAGCAGACGTTTTTATCCAAAGCGACTTGCAAATGAGGACAATGGAATCAATCAAAATCTACAAAAGAGCAATTAAGAGCAAAGAATTCGCATCAGGTGTGTTTTGCGTTTTTAATATTTTTAAAAAGTAATTTATGAAGCCACTTTAATCTGTATCACATAAAAATGTGTTATTAATTGTTATATTACAATCCTGCCATTCAAAAAGCGTATTTTTTGTAACTAAAAAGCCTGACGATGTCACTGCTTAATACCTGTAAGTATTGTGATTTATGTTTTACTTTGGCAATCTTTATAGGACAACTAAACTATCAATTTAAACAAAAAGTTACCGTCAATTACAGACGTTGCATCCATCGATTCCGCCATGTGTCTCATTGACACGCCCCCAACTCGGAAACTCACGGCTTAAAGAAAATTTCGAGTTTCCCACTCATAATAACGACTTTGTGGTGGCGTTCATGTGTGTTCAACTCGTAAATATGATCTATCTGACATGACTTGAACGCACCAAAAGACAAAGGAAAAAGGAAACTGACCATGAACAAACTAAAAGTCCATGAAACAAACCAAATAAGACTGAACTAAACATAACTGGGACAAATATTAAATGGATCCAATCCATGTTCAGTGAAATTAATTTAATGCAGAAATAAACTAGCTAGTACGGTATAGTACTGTATGCAATTGACCAATATCAGTATCGGAATCTGCCAATAGTTGTTTGTTAAAATCGGTATCGTAAAATCATATAGGTGCATCCCTAATATTGAGGATTACAGATTTGCAGGGGCGATTCTAGGAGTTTCATTTTAGGAGGGCTCAGCCCCCAATGAGGGTACAATAATAAAAATAAACAAATAAATAAAATACAAATAAAAAGCTACATTAATTCAACCTCTTAAAATAAATTTTTGATTTGATTTTTTAGCTAATAGGTTATTCATTCGAATTAATTAAGAATATATAGAAAAATATTATTTTAATGTAATTGTCTAGTGTCAAAGTGACATAAAAAATCCCTTACTCTATAGCTAATAAATATATTTCACAATCTGGGTCATTATTTAATACAAAACAAAACATTATGTTATTTCTGTCAATCACTCTGATATTTAGTTCAAATGAGTGCTGTCTGTCACTGTCTTTAATCAGTTCTGTGCATGACTGTATGGTAGTTAATGCCACATGCACTGTAATATGGTTTTTATTGAAAGTTAAATTTTTAAATGAAAATAGCAACATGATCGTTTTTATAAAGTATGCGTTCATAAGGCTACATTGTTGCTGGAGGAAACAGCTGTGGTGTGATGAGGGGTGAACGCAGCGAAAACTTTACAGTAGATGGGAAACCGATTGCTCCCTCGTGACATTTTGTAAACTGTATTTATGGCAAAGAACTGCACAGATACAGATATTATAACAATCTATCGATAAACACACACCTTGTGTCCTCTGTTTCTGTTCTGTGTCCGCTCGCTCTGTGTCGCCGCGGTCAGTGTTGACAGATTGGGTGGGTTTGAATTTGATTGTGTGGGTGCAAATTGGCTTGGGCGGGTGGACAAAATTTGGGCTGGTTTGGGGTCAGTTTGGCGGTTTTTTAGACATATAAATTGTATAGGGTAATTGGTTAACAAACAAGCCCAAGTGTGCATATACTGCATCCAATCAGCCATCACGACGTTACTAAACACACACACACACACACACTGCAGAGGCGCTAATGCTGATGTTGACGTCGACGTCGCGGCCGCACTTTTAGCCAATCACTAGAGATCAGCAGACAGACATGGTTATTCAAGAGTGACGGGTTTTTAGCGTGATAACAGATATGATTTTGAATGTATAACTGTATAGGTGATCATAATGCCTAAATATAAGTTACATGATAAAGAGTGGGAGAGTGTTTTAACTCTCAAAACCTGAACTACACCTGTTGAGGGAGAGTTGACATGAAGGCTCTAATATCACAAATCAGAGCAGTTAAATTATTTAATCAAAATATATTTATAGCCCATCTATTCGATCCTGTCTTTTATTTTTTTAAATGGTCCAGATTGGTATATCCTTGAAAACTGCTGGACTTGTTAGTTTTGACTGTGCAAAGTTCTGTAATGTTCTACAATATGAACTTCACAAAAGACTTCCTCTAGTTCTGTGTGAAATTATAGAGTGACACGAAGGAAAGAGCATTATTGTTGTTAATTTTAATTGTCAGATTATCATACAGTATGCATCAATGAATGGCACAGTTTTGACTGTCATGTGTGTGCTAATTGAGTGTGAAATACCTAATTATGCGGTTTTTCCGATCACTTATATTGGGCAGTTTTCTGCATTTAAATTCTGACGGTTGACATTGAAAATGATGCATGTGTTTTTTTCGAGGGAATCGGTTAATTTTTTGATTGTCGTTTTGACAGTGTCTACTTGCATATTTTAATCATATTTGGTCATTCTCTTTACTGTATTTGCCCCAATTTAATCCATGGGAAATTTATCTAACATCATATTTATACTATTTTGTCATCATTTTTTTGTTTTAAGGAGTTAAAATGGCTCTTATCAACCTTGACTGACATATTCTATCACATTATTTTGACAGTTAAACTTTTGGGCGGTTTTTGTTGTAGTGGGTGGGTTTTTGTGAGCTTTTGGGCTGGAAATCGTCCATACAGTCTGGCAACACTGGCCACGGTCTGCGGATTGAAGAGCGCACTGAAAGACGGGGAGGAGACAAAGTCTGCAGCCATTTTCATATGAAATTTTAATTTTAACCATATTCTCACAATGATTGCAATTACCACATCTGTACATTTGAACATAAACTTGTGAGAAGTCATCTTTCATCTTTAAAGTCAAGTACTTGGTTATCTTTAATAGTTGGTGCTCTTCTAAACACAATGGAAGGAGATTCAGGTAGAACTTCCCTAAGGTGAGAGTCACTCATCAAGATTTCCCAATTAGTTTTTACAATTTTCTTGATTTTACTTGCCTCTGTACTGTATTGCGTCACCAAATAAACTGAGTTTTCAGAATGACTCAATTTTTGTCTTTGTACCAATAACTCATCTCTACTGATGCTTTTAACCTCATTGTATGCCTTATAAATTACACAATTTTAATAAAAACTCTAAATCTTTGAATCATATCTTGGGCCTTGATGTCAAAATCCTGCTCATCACATATTCCTTTTAACCTCCGAAACTGTCCAAAATGAATGTTATCGGTCAACCATGGGGGATGAAAACTGTCTGCTCTTAAGATAGTATTTCTGTCAGTTTCTTTTCTAAAAACGGTTGTATGTTATTTTCCTTTATTAGATATTTTTAAAACCAAGAAATTAATTTGAGAAAATTAAAAATCCAAACTAAGCTACAAATGTACATTAAAAGTATTTAAATATGAATGAAAAGCCAACAGATCTACTTCGGAGCCCGATGACATCATCTATAATTCTTCCCCACCACACAATGTTGTCTAAATATGAAATGGAATCTTAAAATACAAATCTATTTTCCCAAAATCCCAGAAATTAATTTGCATAGTTAGGGGCAAAACAAGCGCCCATTGCTGTACCCCTAGTTTGTTTAAATAGCTAATCTGAAGAAGAAGAAAAAAAGCATTATTTTTCAATGTCCATTCTGCTAGTTGTAAAATAAAACAAGCTGGTGGTTCCTCAAAAGGTGATCTAATTTCTAGATAATGTGATAATGCTTCAAGTCCTTCTTCATGATCTATATTTGTGTACAGTGTTTCCACATCCATAGTCGCCAATATAGATATATTTTTCATTTTCTTAATAATATTCAATATAAGAGTTGCATCTTGAATGTAAGAAGGAAGTTCACTAACCATTGGTTTTATAAAATAATCAACACATTTTAAAGCTGGTTCTGTAATAGACCCATTCCCACTAAATATGGGTCTCCCTGGTGGATTTTCAAAATGTTTATGTATTTTAGGTAACATATAGAAAGTAGGAATTCTCAGGTCTTTACAAAACAAGAAATCATACTCATTCTGTGAAATCCATCCCTCAGTCTTAGCATGTGTCAATACATCAGTCAATTCAGTTTTAATCCTTTCTGTCAGGTTAAATTTCAGGAGCTGGTAATACTCACAATTCTGTAGTTGCCGCCAGGCTTCTTCAATATACTGATCTCTGCCCAAAACTCAACAGCTCCTCCCTTGTCTGCTCTTTTTATTACAAGATCATCAATATATGAAAGCCAATCCAAAGCTTCAACTTCTTTCGAAAGATTATATTGTTTTCGTCTTTTAGAAGCAGAAACCTTGTCAATTTCATGTTACTTTTTTGTAGAAAGAATTCAACGTTAAACAGGAAACACATGGAATAAATGTGGACTTGGGCTTAAAAGATGTTACCTTCTTATCATAAGTACGTATTGCTGCTTTAATTGTATCATCCCAGACCTTTAATTGAAGGTTGAGAAGAAACTTGAATAAGTCCACTTTTGTCTGAGACTCTTTAGCTGTATTTACAGAGGCCTTTTGATAAAACAGAAATGCAGCTGGTCTATAGAGGGATTGTAGAAATGTTTATCACTTCATCTCCCTTGTTCGACTCCTGGTGCACCTGCCCTGGATCTGAGATCTTGATCGATCTGTTTCTCCCTCATCTCGCTTCCACATGAGAGTTTTTTGAGAGTTGCTCTAGATCATCTTTTAATTTTTAAACTGCAACTGTCTGATGTACTGTGACAGTGTTATATTAACAGTTTAGTGTAATTTAAGGCCCAACAG